CTTGAGAGGGAGGTCGAGAGCCTTTCAGAGTATTTTGGTAAGGATTCAGAGGGAGGGGAGAATTTCAGTCTGAGTTGAGCAATCAGTCGATAGAGGAGATGTCACCTTCTATGACTTGGGTGGTGCTATTTATGTTCGTGTGCAAAACATGAGAGGCATGATGTTTAAGTTTTGGGTTTGGGGGTAAACCCTGCAGGTTGTCATTGAGGATGATTTTCCATCAGAGTATCAGGTAGCATGTGTGCCGCGAGGCAGTAATTTACCATGAGCAGATAGTCAGTTAGGACTGAGATAGTCGAGGACCACGTTACACCTATTTGAGTATAGTAGGGCGTATTGTAGAGGTATTAGTGGGGAGTCCTGTCGAGTTTATCAGTGCAGGGGTTTTTCTATCTATTTTGGGTATTGAATATGGGAGTGGGTCCCTGTTCTTGGGATGATCCATGTGTTGGAATGTCGGTTGATGAGTCGAGGTGGGAGAGTATGATGATTTCGTGGTCCAGTCTATGAGTCAGTGATGTTATTGGACAGTTGAGTTGTTTGGTATTGGATTGGTACGAGACTTGGAACGACTAGAGGCAGTCGTGATGAGAAGTTCTTGAGGATTTCATCTGAGGTTCAGAGTATATGAGATCGATTGATTTCCTTAAAGGGGATTATCGGGCGTTGCGTAGCACTTTCCAGGGGTAGGTGCGTTATTGCTGGTGAAAATAGTTTGTGAGATTGTTGATGTGTCGGATAGTGATGGTTCGAACCCTAAGTGGGGGAGAATCGGGTGGTTTATTGAGAGAACCAGAGATTTGTGCAAGAGCGGTTAGGGGTTGGATACAGAAACCTGCGGCTTGAATTCATGAGATCAGGGTCATTGGTGATCAAGGAAAGGTGCAGGGCGAGATAATGCATGTGGTATACGTCTGAGAGAAGGATGGGTGTCTCCACGGCGGGTGGTCAATGGTCGGGAATCTGGTGGTGGTCAGAGTCGTTTCAAGTGGAAGACTCGTAATGATGGTATGGTGCTGGGAGTAAGGGAATCAGTGGTAGAGGCAGGACATTGTGATGCTCTGTTATGGTGTTCCGTGGTTTCTGCGTATAGCGTCCCGACTTCGGAGTTATTTAGAGTCTTGGGTTTAAGACGACTAGTGATGTATCATGTACCTACGATTTCAGTGGGAGCCCTTCGTGTATTGTCATAAAGATGGATTATTTAAGGAAGTGGATCTCTGCAGAGGTAGGTTCTGTGTTATGGCGGTTGCCGCCAGAGTTTGTAATGCATATCACGACAAGTGTGTGTGTAACTATCTATGATAGTCTTCGGTGCATGAGTTAGTGAACATAGTGTGGCGTTGTAATGAGAATGAGAGTATAGGGTGAAGCTACGAGGAGCCGTAGTATTCGCCAATCAGAGGGTGTTGTGATGCTACGGGGAGTCGTAGTACTCACAAGTTAGAGGGAGGGAGTCGTTGTACTACGGGGAGCCATAGTACTCACTAGTTAGTTGGCGTTGTGATACTACGAGGAGTCGTATTATCACTAGTTAGAGGATGTCGTAATGTTGCGGGAAGCCATAGTACCCACTAGACGGCAAGAGAGTATGATGATGGAGTGTTCTCCGATAAGTGCATGATGCAGAAGAGTTTTAGGCTTGAGTAGCCCTAGTATCGAGTTTATGGAGCCTAGTGGTTAAACCGGGGCGAGACTGGGGTCTCCGTCTCTGTCGGGAGGGTCAACGAGGCGCAGCAGATGCCAGAGGTTAGAGCTGAGTCGATCTTCGATTGGATTGTGTTTTTTTTATGAGGGAAAGGGAATTTCGTGACTTGCGTGTCACTGCGCCGTGATAGTGGTCACGGGGAGGAAGTTAGTGAGATATTTTGGATCATGTTATGTATGACCTTTGGGGGTTCAGTTGTGAGGCCAAAAGCTGACTTGGTGCTCGGTATCGAAGATGAATATGAGAAATGAGCTAGAGTTTTCCATGGTTATGTCTGTGGACTCTTCGGAGCGAGCGAACGATTCGGACGCTCGAGGATATGCTTCGGGCATGTGTATCAGATTTGGGGGGGGGGGGGAATTGTGGCCCGTATTTTCCCTTAGCAGAGTCTTCCTACAACAACAACCATCATTAGTGCATCAGTATGCCACCCTTTGAGCTGATGTAGGGAAGGAGGTATCGGACCCCATTTGCTAGGGAGAGGTAGGGCAACGTGTGATGGAAGTACAGAGATCATGTTTCAGACGTCAGAGCAGATACAACAGTTCAGGCAGAGATTGTTGACCGCTCAGAGTCGCTAGAAGAGTTATGCGGACAGGCGTCGGTCCGAGCTCGAATTTTTGGTCGGTGATTTTGTACTCCTGAAGGTATCTCCTTGGAAAGGAGTGATTCGATTTAGGAAGAGGGGAAAGTAGGGGCCCCGATATATCGGGCTGTTTAGAGTGATCGCGAGGGTAGGCAGGGTAGCATATCGCTTGGAGCTACCTGCGGAGTTGGATCTGATTCATGATACCTTCCACGTGTCGCAGCTGAGGAAGTGTATAGCCGATGAGTCGGCAATGGTTCCACTGGAGGATATCCAAGTGGATACGAGTCTGAATAGTGTCGAAAGACCAGTCGCGATGGTGGATCAGTGGATCAGTGAGTTATCGGGGTTTGACATTCGAGGAGCGAATATCATGGTGATCGTGTGAGTAGGCGGTCTGGCGGCGGGTCAGGCCACTAGCGTTTCCAGATTTTGGGATTGAGCGTATCAGCGTCAGAGTGGTTGGATTAGTTTTGATTTTTGGGGCTTCTGTGTGGGTTCAGTTGTCCATGGAAGAAGATTTCGGTATGGTATGAGATTCATTCGGTGGTACCGTTCAGAGATAGTATAAATTCATATATGGCTAAGGGGCGATTTCGAGGGCGAAATCTAATTCAAGTGGGGGAGAATTGTAACATCCTGTTTCAGATTGTTCGTGATTAGTGTTGGTGGGCCATGAGTCGGGCGCGAGAAGGTTTCGGGTTGAGGCGAGTTGCTTGAAACGTAAGGGATCTCATTACCTTTCGATATGTATGAGGATGGTGGAATCAAAGTTTTATCTTTGAAGCTATGAAAGTTTGGAGGGTTGACAAGTTAAGTCCTTAAAGTCAAGAAGTTGGCAGCGAAGTACGCTGGGCATACATATGCGTACGCTTAGCGTATAGATGCGCGTGTTTCTTAAGCAAGAGCCACCTAGTACGCTGGGCATACCAGGGGGTACGTTGGGCGTACTAGGCACAAAAGAAAACCCTAATTAAGTGAAGTGTCCTTATAAAAAGAAAGAGATGGTCTCATTTCTGGCCACCTTCCTCAGTTATTAGACCCTCTCAAACCCTAATATCCGTTCTTGAAGTTTGTGGTGGCCATGATGAGCTTGTTTGTGTTCTTGGGGACTTTTGAGAGTTAAGAAGGAGCATGGAAGGGAGTGAAGTCGAAGAGCAAGTTGTGGATCTGAGCTTCCTTGGGGCTAGAGCACCATTTGTAGGTATAAAGCTCCAAGCTTTCCCTCTCTTTTTGTTTTGTGCATTTTAGGGTCCATTTTAGGGTTTTTGGTCCCAAGCTTGAGACTTTATGAGTTGATGCACTCCAAAGCTTAATAACCTGTCCTTTTAAGTGTATCTAGTGATGAAGAACCATAAAAATGAGGTCTTGATCGTGTGAATCTACCCATGCATGAGTTATGAGCATTTTGGGTTAAGAAAGTAAGAGTTTTTATGTGTTGTGACCTCATCAGCCATGCAAAGGCTTAAAGTCGATAACTTTATGGAATAAGAGATGTTAAGAAGTCCAGATCCAAGAGATAAGTTAAGGTCTTAACGGGTTAAGACCCAGAAATTGATTTAAGCAAAGCCGAGAGTACGTCCAGCGTAATCCTAGTACGCCCTGTGTACTGGGCTGAGGTCCCCGATCAAATTTGTGCATGCTTGCGTACGCTGAGCGTACCAAGAGAGGTACGCCCCGTGTAACCCCTCTGTAGGCTTTTGGGCTAGGTGATCTTTTGGGCTTTAAGTGTTGGGCCGGAATCCTTGGGCCTGCTTAGTGGAGCCTGTGATCAGAGAATTAAATTGATGTCTTGGGCCTCATGTTGGGCTTGTCTTGTAGGGTGAGGTTGGGCCTTGGGGAAAGCCCATTTATTATTGGGCCTTGGTGGGCCCAATGGGTTAGGACCGTAATGGATTGGTAGATGGTCTATCTTTAGACCTGGTAATTGAGAAATTGGACTTAGTTCCTGATTGGGTTAATTGTGGGACTTGACACAGAGTTAGAGGTCAGTGTTTGGCAAGCAACATGATTGGAGGTTGATTCTTAGTACCAGGTGAGTCTTCTCACTATACTTTACCTTGAGTAGGTAACCAGAGTTATGTGACAGAGTATTTGTATGCTATGTATGTTATGTGTTGTACTGCATTATTTCTATGTGATTTATGCTGTGCATGTTTACAGAGTTAGAACCGGAAGGTTCCCAGAGTTAGAACCGGAGGGTTCATAGAGTTAGAACCGGAAGGTTCACAGAGTAGGGTCCACGGACCCACAGAGTTATAGCCTCGAGTGGCTAATATGTGTTATGTCTGGTATTTTGGGGAACTCACTAAGCTTCGTGCTTACAGTGTTTTGTGTTATGTGTTTCAGGTTTCTCTCAGGATCACGGGACAGCACCGGCTTGATTGTACACACCAGAGAAAGAGTCATGTTTTGAGGATCCTGGTTTATTATGCAAGTGAAAATGGAGTTATGTTTTGTAATTCGATTATGAATGAGATTTCAAGAAAAGTGTTTTTAAGAATTAAACCATTATATTTAAATGAAGAATTGTTTTGAAAAGAAACACTTAGAACATTCTACATCTTAGAACATTCAGAACACCCAGAACATTCTACATCTTGATGGATCAGGACTCGATGTTTGCTTGATTTCTATCCCTTTTCCAACCGATCCCGGGCTCCTTACACGTGGACTGTAACTGTGTTGACGTGGACTATAAATATGCTAACTTGGACTGTCGTAAGCCTGCTGACGTGGACTATAAGCAGGCTGCATTTGTCGAGGAGTTTGAGTCGAACTTGTTATTTTTGGACTGTTGGAATGACAGACCTCTCCTCTGCTTCTTGTCATGATTCCATCAAGAACCTCCGCACTATCCATTTGGGATGTTCTTGATTGAGCATCATCATCATCCTGTAAAACAAATTATATAATAAACAAAAGTGATTAGTAGGTATCTGTCTTTTCTTTATGCAAAATGCAAGAAGAAAGTTGAGTTAATTACACGAAATGCCATATTGTAGGTGGTGGGAGGGGCTTCTTCATATTCAGCAGCATCTAAATCTTGAAGATGTGCGCTTTTGAAAAGTTTTGGAAGAAAATATTGTCTTGCAGGAACAAGCAGCATGATGAGGAGAGGGAAAAGAACACTTGCAATTGGAATCCATGTTATGCCAAAACAAGCCAACAAGTAAACAGTTTGAAACAATGTAAACCAAGCAACTGTTTTGAATGGGACGCTTTCAACAAAACTCGCATGATTTTCTTCCAACACCCAGATATATAATAAATCAAATAGAAACAGAATTAAATAAAGATGTCAACTGAAACTATATGTATAAGCATAGGGACTAAAGTTGTAATTTACTCAAAGTAAGTAAATATACAGGAACTACAAAAGTTACTTGTATCTTCGACTTGGAGTAGTGAAGAGTAATAAGATTCGTTCCCAAAATTGATTACCAGGTAAGCTTTCAATCGCTATGAAAGCAAAGTAACCCCAAAGAACCGAAGTTAGAATCTTTTTAAGAACCGGCATCGCAACCAGACAACCACCAACCATCACCGCTTGTAGCAGATTGCTCAGTCGTTGCTCCTTCACTTCAACGTGCAATAAATCATCGACATCTTTATTCACATCAAACACAGTTTCATCAGTAGCTGCGTCAATGTAACAACTACTAGACGCTTGTTGTATTGTCGATTCTTTTAGCTCTTTCAGCCCCTGTTGTTTCAAACCCTAATTGAATTATTACACCCGATCGAATGATGCAATCTCAGATAATATTCCAATTTCATTTACCAGAGTTGGTGGATTCTGATAGACCAGTGGAGTTTGCATTTCGTTGTATGCTTGTTGCATATTTCGGTATAATTCACCCAGGTTTGTATTTTAGCGTATGCTTCTTCAAGCTGTGGAAAATCAACCTAATTTTATGCATGAAATATCAAGATACTTTCATTTTTTTATTTTCCTTTTACAACATTGTATTTTGAAAAATCAACCCAATTATTATTATAATTATGTCATCCAAATATAAAAACAATTGTTACTGCTATGATTGGGTAATAAGAAAATGTTGTTATGGAAAGAAAAAAAACAAATAAATAAAACTACATGATTAAATTCGTCAAATGACCAAAATGTATGGTGAATTTGAAGAAAATGACTACAAAAATAAAGATTTCAGAAAATAACCATAGGTTCCGCAGAGGGGGTTCTGCGGAACCATAAACACCTCTGCGGATCTTTTTTTTTTTTTTTTTTTTTTTTTTTTTTTCTGTTTTTTTTTCTGGATTATTTTTTTGTTTGCGTTTATTAATATATTTTTTTAATCACATAAGGTATTATGTGATTATTATGTAATTTTTTTTTTCGTTTTTCGTTTTTCTTATTTAATTACCTGTTTATAAAGTTTTGTGTTTAATAAAAATTATACAAATATTTTATGTTTTTTATAAAACTACACACACTTATATTCTAAATAATAAACATACTTTAAGTAGGTTACAAAAGATACTTTAGAAAACATAAACATACAACCTTCATATTAAACATACTTTGAAATAAACTTCATTAAAGTATCTGCGGATCCTCTAAAGCTATGTGAAATCTTTGTTTTTTGAATTTTTTTTCTTCTTTGTTTTCGTTTTTTTGTGTTCGTTTTTATTTATTAATATTAATTTTTTTTAAATACACTAATACCTTATGTGATTATTATGTAAAAAATTTGACAAAATTTAAAAATAATGAAATGTTTTATATAATACGTTTACTACTGATGTATGTTTTCCATATATTTTTACTGTTTTATATTTATAAATCACTCTCCACAAACACAATGAAAAAACAATTTCTACTAGTAATTGAAACTCACAAACTCATAAAAACCCATTAAAATACGTCTATAACTTCTATAATTAATCCGTAGAAGTGTACACAGATCCGCAGAGGTGTACACTGATTAGCATATTTGTACACAAATCCGCAAAGGTGTATACTGATATGCAGAGGTGTACACTGATCCGTAGAGGTGTACACAGATTCGCAAAGGTGTATACTGATCCTCAGAGGTGTACACTGATCCGCAGATGTGTACACTGATCCACTGATAACAGTTCTGTGGATTGCCAAACAGTTCTGTGGACTGATATTAAACAAAAGTTCATTATTTTTAACTTCTGTTTGTCAATTTTTTTTACATAAAACTTAAGGTATTAGTGTATTAAAAAAATTAATATTAATAAACGAAAACAAAAAATAGAAAAAAAGAAAAAACAAAAAAATAAAAATTAAAAAACTCAAGATCCGCAGAGGTGTTTCGGTTCCTCAGAGGCAAACGTATTACATAAAACATTTCATTATTTTTAACATTTTTTTGTAGAATTTTTTACATAATAATCACATAAGGTATTAGTGTATTTAAAAAAAATTATATTAATAAACGAAAATGAACAAAAAAAAAAAAACAAAAAAACGAAAAAAAAAATTAAAAATTAAAAAACAAAGATTCTGCAGAGCTGTAGAGGATCCGCATAGCCTTCAATGAAGTTTATTTCAAAATATGTTTATTATGAAGGTTGTATGTTTATGTTTTTTAAAGTATGTTTTGTAACCTACTTAAAGTATGTTTATTATTCAGAATACCGGTGTGCGTAATTTTATAAAAAACATAGTATATTTGTATAATTTTTATTAAACACATAACTTTTATAAAAGGATAATTAAATAAGAAAAATAAAAAACGAAAACAATTTTTTTTTACATAATAATCACATAATACCTTATGTGATTAAAAAAATATTAATAAACGAAAACAAAAAAATAAAAAAAAACAAAAAAAAAAACGAATAAATAAATAAGAAAAATAAAAAACAAAAACAATTTTTTTTACATAATAATCACATAATACATTATGTGATTAAAAAAATATTAATAAAAAAAACGAATAAAAAAATGAAAAAAACAAATATCCGCAGAGATGTTCACATTCCGCAGAAGTGTGTATGGTTCCGCAGAACCCCTTCTACGGAACCTGTGATCATTTTTTGAAATGCTTATTTTTGTGGTCTTTTTCTTCAAACGCACCCTATATTTTGGTCATTTGTCGAATTTTTCTCAAACTACATTGCTATTTTTTAATTTCAAAGTACCAAACATGATGATATAAACTACTTCTGCCACTAAGAGAGTACGGACAATTGACTTTTGCGTGTCTAATAACTATAAGTTATTATTAGCTTGAAAGTTACACAAAAATATATATATTTTTTGTGTAGAAAAATTCAATCAACAACTGAACTAAGTAAAGAATATACGTACAAAAAAGAAAAGAATCGGAGTTTATACTTATGCTTGAATCATAATGTCAGGAGTTGACTCTTTTAGCGGGGACAAAGGTGGGCCTAGTTTTAATATATATAAGTTTTTTTTTTATATAAAAAAATAATGATCACATGTAAGTGTTTAAAGAAAGAAGAATGGCATAGAGGTGTACAATATAATTTAACATATATTACAGATAGATGCATGCGTATTATCACGAATAGGTTGACCAATTAGTTTAATTTAAACTGCATCGTCCTTTAACGATATAATAATAAGAGGAAAAAGATATCTTATTTTTTTAGTTGAAATAAATAATATTACATGATGTTTTAGTGTGGCTAAGCTCTTTGTGTGCATTGGAGATTGTGGAATAACTCCATTGGCTGGAGGAATGCCAATTAGCCCACATAATAATGTCTGATACAAAAAAATTATACATTTAGAAGTGAGTAAATTAGCATTAAGTGTGTGTTACCAAAAAGCCTAAAAGAAGGTCATAATGATATGAAGGTGGCTTCTTTAGACTAAACTCCTTTTGTTGTGCAAGTTGAGATGCAACACTGTGATCAAAATAGTAGAGAACTGCAATCATGGTGGCTGGCAGGGCGAAGCCATAATTTTTTTTTACGGTGTTCCTCGTAAATTAGTTGAAAAACACACACATATATATATATATATATATATATATATATATATACACAAAGAGAGAGAGAGAGAGAGAGAGAGAGAGAGAGAGAGTATATTAATTTTCAAGACTGCGGTGAAAATTAAAATTAGATCATTCTAAATACAACTTTTTTATATAAGCAAAATAAATTTAAGGGGGTGAATTGTAACATGAGAAAACTTAAAAAGTAACTAAATTAATTAAAATTAGAAAAATAAAATTTTATAAACATATGAGGGGTAAAATATATAAATTTCTAAAATTGATTTTTTTAAGGAATTAAAAGAAAGGTTAAATTGTGAAAATGAAAGTATAAATAAGTGGCTAAAATTATAAGTTGGAGCAATAATTAACAATTGAGATGGAACCTACTATCTTTTGAAGGTGGAAAGAATTTTCTATTAGTTGAGCTAAAGAACTTCCATGTCAACATTTGCACAAAATTGTATATTAAAAAAAAAAAAAAACTGAAAATTTGAGGGTGAGCCTTGGACCAACCTGGTTCTCATGTAGCTCCACCCATGGTGGCTGGAACAACAGCTCTAATGATATATACAAAAAGGAACATTCAGCATATCCTGCAAACAGATTACAAATATCATATATATCAAAAAAACAAAAAATTAAAATCTGTTTTTGTTCATTTAAATTATAAGTAAAAAAAACTATAAAGACCTTCCGAGTTAAAAAAATAAGTTAAGGACTAAACGTGTAAATTACCCCAAACCAGAGGGATCATTGGTGTAATTCACTCCTTTTTTTTTGGTAATTTAAAAAAAATAATATTAAACTCAACCAGATATATTTAGCAAACATTGATGTCAGGTCTAAGATGATTGTGCCATCGCTCCCTACATTGTTTTCCAATCCTTCCTTTCAACTTCTGAGCGATATATGACCATTTTCTCACCCCATATTTCTCCACCATTTCCTTTAAAATCCTGCATATTTCCTCAACCAACCATGCATATATTAGCATTCACTATGTTTTCTCCATTAATAATTCATTATATCTGATCTAGATAAATATTCCAATTGGGATTTAATGTTCAAATGAAATTTAGCTTAAACTCAAGCTTTATAATTTCACATATTTTTAGGTATACATCAATAAACTTAGGATGTCAAATGAAAATAGTTAAAAACCCAAGTTTGACAAATTAAGTTTATTTCCTTATATTTTCATAAACTTTTTTTTTCAAAGGTCCAAGAATCGATTAAATATATTTACATATTTTACAACATGGATTTTGAGATAATATTTCATGTCAAGTGGGGTTCATTCACCTCGGGATCATGGTAGTTTTATGAATTAACTGTGAAAAATAGTTAACATGTTATCTTTTTTAAAGGGAAATGGAAAACAACACACAAAAATATGAAAATTTAAACTTCTACCTCTTAATGTAAAATTCATTCGACAATAGCAATGATTCTGTTTATATTCAAACTTTAGGTAATCTTTGGAGTAGATTACTTGTCTTCTTCTGTAATCCATTGTCCTTTGGATGAATTTGTCTTATTTTTCCCTTTATACGTCTTTCTATTACCTTTCTCGATTCCATTGTCAGCAGTGACAGATGATCCTTCATCCGGCAAAAAGAATCTCATGGGTTTCGGATCTTAAATCGGGCATTCCAAACGGTTCGAAAAATCCCAACCCGTTAAGCTTTTGTCACAATTATTTAAATTCATCACCATTCAACATCATTTACATGTTCAAGAGGTTTAAACTGATACACTTCAAGATCATTTGAACCTAACCCATATGACAATGGCCCAAACGAGTCATAACCCTCAACACGGGTTGCATAATCCGAATGAAAAGATGAACCCGCTAGACAAAGATTGTCGAGTTGGTGTAAAT